CTAGATAAAGAAAAGGTGGTACACATACACCATGGGATACTATGCAGCCATAAAAGAAGAACAAGATCGTGTCCTCTGCAGGGATGTGGGATGGGGCTGGAGGCCATTATCCTTAGCAAACTTACACAGGAAGATGAAACCAAACACTGCCAGTTCTACGTAAAGTGGGAGTTAAATGATGTTAACGCATGGACACATGGAGGGGAACAACACACACTGGGGCCTATCAGAGGGTGGGGGTGGGAGGAGGGACAGGATCAGAAAAAACAAGTAATGAGTATCAGGCTTAATACCTGGGTGATGAAATAATCTGTACAGTAAACCCCCATAACACATGTTTACCTATATAACAAATCTGCACATGTACCCCTGAACTTAAAAGAAAATAGAGCCAATTATCTAATAAAGTCACCCCTAGATCTTTATAATAAAACCGCAGTTCAGAAAATTGAATAAAATGCCAATAGAGTGAGCTTTATATGTATTAATATATCACACTATATTAAGTTTTAAAAATATATTTGCAATTCATACAGAAATGGAAACACACGCTGGACGCAGTGGCTCAAATCTGTTATCCCAGCACTTTGGGAGGCCAAGGCAGGTATATCTCTTGAGGCCAGGAGTTCCAGACCAGACTGGTCAACATGGTGAAACCGTCTCTACTAAAAATAACAAAAATTGGCCAGGCATGGTGGCATGTGCCTGTAGTTCCAGCTAGTCAGGAGGCAGAGGCCCAAGAATCACTTGAACCTTGGAGGCAGAGGTTACAGTGAGCTGAGATCACCCCACTGCACTCCAGCTTGTGGGCAAGAGAGAGAGAGAGAGAGAGAGAGAGAAGGAAAGAAGAATGGAGGAAGGAAGGAAGGAAGGGAGGAAAGAAAGAAAGAAGAAAGAGAAGAAGGAAGGAGGGAAAGAAAAAAAAAAGAGAAGAAAGAAGGAAGGAAAGAAAAGAAAAAGAAAAAGGGAGAAAGGAAGGAAGGAAGGGGAGAAGGAAGGAGAGAGAGAGAACAAGAGAAAGAACAAAAGAAAAAAAGGAGGAGGCAGGGAGGACAGAAGGAAGGGAAAGAAAGGGAGGGAAGGAAGGAAGAAAAAGATAAAGAAAAGGAAGGAAGGAAGAAAAAAGAGAGAAGGAAAAAGAGAAAGAAGTTGAATTTATTCTGGAAAATTTATTAGGGAGATGGAGGGGACCTAGACTTTTATTTATTTAATGTTATTTTTGTAATTTGGAAAATATCATTTTCCATGTAAAATATAGTATCTTATTTTCTATAATAGATTGGCAGGCTTTCAGGTCATATGCTTACACAAAAAAATATTGAATCATGAGTTTACAGATTAAAAAGAGGTGGAGTAGAGACACCTTGTTTTACTCCAAATGAAATTATCCAATTATTAATCATGACACCATATCTGCCAACACCAGCTTCTGTGGGAATTTTAAGGCACAGATTTGGCTTGAACATTATTTATTGAAAGTATCTAATGAGCTCATTCAGTTTGGACTATAATTGATTTACAGCCTTTGAGTTCAAGATTGAGTCAAGGCTCCTAAAAGGAAAAAAACAATAATGTTTCTCTAAACAAATTTATCCACATAAGGAAGAAGATAATACAGTGTGCCTATAGTTCCAGCTAGTCAGGAGGCTTGTAACAAGTTGTTACGAGCAGTATAACTGAGCTTCTGCTTTCACCCAAAGATGGGATTTATCTTCTCAAATAACTAGAACACCAGAAAAAAAATATATGAAACAGTAGTTATCAGACACTGAACAATAGACAACATAGAGTAGTCATCTATAAGAGAAGAGAAACAAATGAGGCAAGCCCTAAAACTGCCCCAGCATACTCTCTGGAGAGAATTTCCAGGCCAAAATCCAGAAGGAAAATTTTAAACAAAACCTAGGAGTCTCTCTGAGTTAAGGAGACAGAACTTAGAGTTTGTAAAGGCCAAAGCTGCTAGAATTCACAGCACAGAGTACCAGAGAGGAGAGCTACATAGAGAGAGGATTGTGGAAATATGAACAAGGATTTCCCTGAAGTCTTCAGTTAATAGCATATGTACATAATGAAACAACCAAGGCCAAGGAAATAACCAGCAGAAAGCAATAGTGCCAGGTAAAGTTCATGTTTCCACCAGCCTGGGTAGGGACACCTCCTAATACACAGGGCATCGAGTAGTACACTAAGAAGTATATTCTAAGTAGTGGGGCCAAATTAGAAATAGACTAAAAGTATTTGTGAAGTTACCCTAACACTTAAAGCAAGCCTGAAAATGATCACACTGTTTCCAACTATCATGACTGAATCCCAGAATAAAGCTAAGGAAAAAATTTAAAGAACACGAGAAAGAGAAAAAGAAGAGAAACATTCAGCAACAAACAATGTAAAGTTCACAATTTTTGGCATCCAATCAAAAATTACCAGGCATGCAAATAATCAGGAAAATGTAATGCATAACTAAGAGAAAACATATTAAAGACAGACATAGAAATGATACAGATTAGAGAATCGGTAGACAAGATCTTAAAACAGTCATTTTAAATATTCATCATGTATTCAAAAGGTTAGAAGAAATCATGAGCCAAGATGTGGAAAGAAATGGAAGGAGAGATCCAAATCTAACTTCTAGCCATAAAGATTACCATGTACAAAATGTAACTATGTGTAATAGATTAGAAACAGCAGCTAAGACACTGAAAAAGAAAATTTAGGTGAATTTGAAGACAATAATAGAACAATACAAAATAAAATATAGAGAAAAATAGACTGAAACGGAAAGCAGAGAATCAGTGATGCTTGAACAATATCAAGTAGTCAAAGAATCACAGAAGAGGAGAAAACAGATGAGGAAACAAGAAATATTGGAATAAAGGTAAAAAATTTGTGAAATTTGATGAACTCTCAGAATCTAAAAATCCAAGAATCACCGCCCCAAGTAGAGAAAAATCATACCAAGAGACATTATCATCAAATTTCTTAAAACTATCAATAAAGAGAAAAAAGTTTAAAACAGACAGAGGAAAAAAAAAGAAAAATTACATAGAAGAAGAAGAAAGGACAGCAAATTTATCATTAGACACAAAGGAAGCCAGAAGTTTAGAATGATCCTTTATGGAGAAGGAATGGTATCAGTTCAAAATTTGGATTTGTATAGCAGAATGGATGACACTGGAAATGGGAAATATATGGGTAAATATTAAAGATTTTTTTCAAATATATTTAAAATATAATTATTTAAAGGGAAAATAATCACAATCATTTATGGATTTTATACCACATAGAAAAGTAAAATATATTACAACATTAGGACAAGGGTGGGGGTGGACGCAAGTATTCTTTTGAAAGGTTCTCAAACCATACGTAAAATGGTATATTACTTGAAAGTAGGCTGTGATAAGTTAAACCTGTATATTGTAAAGCTATGGTTTCCACATTAAAAAAAAAAAAAAAAGCAAGATAGAAAGAATCTCTGCCTCAAATGGTAGTAAAAATGGTAGTAATAAGGATTAAGTAGAGTTGATGTCTGTGAAGTTTTTATATTAGCCCCTGGATAAAAAAAAAAAAGCAAGATAGAAAGAATGAGCAAGGGGATATGTAGAAAACAGCAAGCTGGAAAATTTAAGCAGAAACAAATTTTTAAAAGCACATTAAAAGTGAATGGTATAAACATACCAAATAAAAGTGATTGTTGGCTGGATAAAATTTCTATGCAGTCTATAGGAAAACTCAGACAAGTAGAAAGCCCAAGAATGGAAAAATATATATTATTACAAATCAAAGGGATGCTTGAATAGCTACAATAATATCAGACAGAGTAGATTCTAAAGTACAGAATTTTAAAAAGAATGGTGTTATTTTATAATGATGAAGAGATCAGTTTTTTAAAGAAGCTATAACAATCCTAAATGCTATGCACCTACAAACAGCTTCAAAATATATAAAGCAAAAACTGTTTTAATTGAAAGACGAAATAGCCAAATCCAAAACTATAGTCAGAGATCTTAAGATCTCTTTTTGAATAATTAATAGAAAAGACAAAATCAGCAAGGATATAGAACATTTGAAGACACTTTCAATCAGTTTGACCTAATTGTCATTTATAGAACACTCCAGCCAGCAGTAGCACAGTATACTTTCTTTTCAAGTGTATATGGAACATTTACTAAAATAGAACATACTTTGTGCCATAAAGCAAATGTCAGAAAATTTAAAAGGATTGAAATCATACAAAGTATATTCTCTAACCACAATGAAAATGTACCTGAAATCAATTAGATATCTGGAAAATCCCAAATCTATGAAAACTAAACATGTCTACACAAACTTCTAAATCAAAGATATCAAAAGATAATTTAAAAGATATTTTGGGCTGGATGGAAATGAATCATAGCATATTACAATTTGAGGATGCAGCTAAAATGGTTATAAAAACCTAAAGTTTTTTATATTAGAAAAGTATTAAAGTTTAAAATAAAAAACCTAAACTTGTACCTTAAGAAAGTAAAAAAAGAAAAGCAAATTAAACCCAAAGTAAGGAGAAGAAATAATAAAATTAAGTGTAGATGTCATTTAAATGGAAAACATGAACATTGGAGAAAATCAATGAAATTCTGTTTCTATAAAAAGATCGATAAAATTAATAGTCCCCTAGCCAGACTGATAGCAGAGAGAGGAAGAGAGAGAGAAGGGCAGAGAATGCAAATTACTAACATCAAGAATGAGAGGGGTGACATCACTATTGATGCTACAGATGTTCAAAGGATAATAAGGAAACGCTATCAACACTTTTGCCTTAGCACCTCTTTCTTAGGGCAGACCTTTCATCGAGTTTGTCTAAGTCTGATGGATAGGGCTAAGGTAAGTATGTTTTATGATTATGCTTCTCCATATGAATATAGACGTAAATAAATTAAAAGTGTAAAATCTAAACTTTAAGTAAACTTTAAGTAACTTTTACTAGAAATATAATTGCTAAAACTTTGAAAATTTAATTTTAGGTACATATCAATTTTTAAGGCAACTGTAAAAGATGACATGCAAAAAACTAAAACTGCAATGAAAACGATGGGACCAGCAAAAGTTGAAGTACCTTCTCCAAAGGATTTCCTAAAGAAACATTCAAAGGAAAAAACTCTACCACCCAGTAGGTTTTATCATGCTTTCTTTTTAATATTAAAAGTGTTAGCAGGTGATTGAACTAAAATTATTTTATTGTGGATGAATATTAAACCTGCACAGGTGATAGCAACTTTACCTCATATTAAACATAATTTGACTAGGAGAAAGTGGAATTCGAGAATGGAGTAGAAAAAGAAAATGGAGAGTGATAAATTGCCCCCCAAATAGACTTTTGATTGGGTTTGTACTATCCAATGAAGCCCACATGCCTCACCATCTTAGTGCCTAGCTGTGGGGCTTCAGTTACAAACAACAATTATAGGAAGAGTCTAGACCCCAGAGACAGTGTCTGATGAATGGGCAAGATTGCCCAGCATCTAAACCCTGTCTGGTCTTTTCTCCAAGAGATGAGAATTACAACTATTACTACCAGTTGTTGAAGCAACTACTAAGCTCACTTTTGAATATGGGCTTTTACTCTCCCAGACCTCTGAGACCAACTGGACTGTAAGTGAGTTAGATGTAATGGAGGAGGCTTCATGAATAAGTGGTAGAACCAGCTTAGGGCGCCATGCCTATTTTAATGCTGTGCCCTTGCTGTACTGAAATTTTTAATTTTTGATCAAGTAGCCTGTGTTTTTTATTTTTTACTGGGACTCAAAAGTTATATAGTTGATCCCAGTTATGGAGTCTATTGATTTCAGGAAAGAAAGCTATCAGGGATAGGGAAAGTAGATGAAAAGTGATCTGCGACAGGTAAGCATGGAAGCAATAGCTACACAGCCCAGGTATGTCTTCCCAGAAGTCTTAAGGCAATAAAGAAAAGAGAGTGCCTGGGCAACAAAGCAAGACGCTGTTTGTAAAAAAAAAAAAAAAAAAAAAAAAAAATCAATTAGCTAGATGTGGTGGCATGCACCTGTAGTCTCTGCTACTTGGGAGGCCGAAGTGGAAGGATCACTTGAGCCCAAGAGTTTGAAGTCACAGTGAGCTATGATAAAGCCACTGCCTTCTAGCCTGGAAGACAGAGCAAGACCCCATCTCAAAAAAAAAAAAAAGAAGGGAAAGGAGAAACGAGTCTGTCTCTTCAAAATGTTGGCTTTTTATGTCTGCTGGCATCAAGGAAATAATGCAACATCTCAAGCCCAGCTATGGATGTACATTTTAACAAAAGCGAAACTACTTCTCCTTATGGCAGTATTTAATGGCCCAAATCCTCTCTCAACCCATATCCCATGACAAAGGGTAAAGGCACTATCAGGCAATATGGAAGAACCAAGTGTGAAACTACAATATTCATGCTTAAGTCATGCTACAGAAGTCTCTTTTCTATCTTCCTCTAGTCTTGGCCTTTCATGACCCATAATTCTATGACCAACAATACCACTGGAAAATATGGAAAAATCTTAAAATGGAATTTGATGCTTTCAATACCTTAGGACCACTGATATCCCTTGGGTCCTCATATAGCCTCTCTAGGGTTAGGCATATGATATAACACAACTATATATATATAGAGAGATATATAGATAGATAGACACCTATCTCTCATTTTGTAAACATTGTAAGGCAAAAGCAAACCCAAAATTTCATTGGCCTTTAGAGTAATTCATCAATTCAGGGTGCTAGGGCTGGGCACACTGGCTCATGCCTGCAATCCCAGCATTTTGGGAGGCCAAGATGGGAGGATTGCTTTAGCCCAGGAGTATGAGACCAGCCTGAGTAACAAAGTGAAACCCTGTCTCTATAAAATTTTTTTAAAAATTAGCTAGGTGTGCTGACGCACATCTGTGGTCTTAGCTATATGGGAGGCTGATGTGGAAGGATTGCTTAAGCCTGGGAAGTTGAGGCTACAGTGAGCTATGATTGCATGACTGCACTCCAGCCTGGGTGACAGAGCAAGACCCTGTCTCAAAAAAAGAAATATGTACTGTTGCAAGAGCTTTAAAAACAGTCCAATGAGAGTTCTGGAGACAACATCGAGGTGTCAGCAAGATTAGTTGATTTTTGCTTTTCTTCTTGGGGGGTATTTTTGTCTGTTTTTATTTTTAGAGATGGGGTCTATGTTGCACAGGCTGGAATGTGGGGTGGCTATTTACAGGCATGATCAAAGCACACTGCAGCCTCACACTCCTGGTTTCAAGCAATCCTCCTGCCTCAGCCTCCCAAGTAGCTGGGACTACAGGCATGCAACGCGTCACCCAACAGGGCTGGTTTCTTCTAAAGCATTTTTCATTGGCTTGTAGATGGTTATCTTTTCCCTGTGTATTTACATGTCCTTTCCTATAGGTATGTCTGTGTTCAAATTTCCTCTTCTAAGGACACCAGTGATATTACATTAGTGCCTTCTCTAATGACCTCGTTTTAACCTAATTACCTCTTTTAAGACCGTCTCTACAAATACAGTTACATTTTGAGATATTGGGGGTTAGGGCTTCAACATATGAATTCTAGAAGGACATAACTCAGCCCCTGACAAGATGCTAATCCAGTTCATAGACTTTTAACAATAAGCATTGGCTTTGCTAATAATAAATGTTATATAAACTCATAAAAAGGTCAAATGATACAGAAATGAATTAAGTCAGTCCTTAGTAATTGTGATGGGGTTAAAACTGGAATAAGGCCTTGTCAAGATAGTGTTGCTTTCAGCTCTTAAAAATAAATTATTTCAGTGACCACTTGATGTTGTGCTCAATAGAAAAAAAATAATAAAAATAAATAAATAATTTCACATTTTTGCATTTTGACAAACCATTTGGCTGTATCAAAATAAATCAATTGGAATGCTCAAGCTGAAGAGGCTGTGTAAAAATGGCCACTTTCATCGGCTACTAATGAAGAGAAAGTGGTTTAGAGAAATAAATAAGATAAATTTTGAATAACAGTTACTTTAGAATGCAGTCAGGGAGGAATGAATAAGAAATTTCAATTGTACTAGTCATTTTTTTAATTTGTTAAGCTGTGTGTTGAGTACACAGCTATTAAATTATTTTTATACCTTATAGTAATAGTTTTGGTGAAAAAATCCATACCTTCTTAGACTTTTGATACATCAAATTTGATTTTACTTTACAGTAATTTTTCACGGAAGAAGCAATTATTGGCAACATTGATAGTACTCAGAAAAAGAGTTTTAATGTTTCTTGTTTAAACTTACCTTAAATGGGAAAGCTAAACATTTGTCGTTGAAATCTTTGTAAGAAAATATTTTCACAATGACCAATAAAAATGTATTAGCTAGCATATAATTAAGGATATGTATCCATATATATATATATATATAAATCTTTTTTGAGACAGAGTCTCACTCTGTCACCCAGGCTGCAGTACAATGGCATGATCTCAGTTCACTGCAACCTCTGCCTCCCAGGCTGAAACAATCCTCCCACCTCAGCCTCCTGAGTAGCTGGGACTACAGGTGCACACTGTCATGCTCGGCTAACTCTGCATTATTTGCAGAGATGAGGTTTCACTATGTTGCCAAGAGTGATCTTGAACTCCGGAGCTCAAGTGATCCACATGCCTCGACCTCCCAAAGTGCTGGGATTACAGGCATGAGATACTGTGCCTGGACTCCTCAACATATTGATTTTGTTGCCCTTAATTTATTTCCATTTTAATTACTGACTTTTTTCCTTTTCTAAAACTCGTTTTATTGAGTCATGATTGACGGGTAAAAAGCGGTGTGTATTTAATGTCTAGAAGTCAATGTGTTTGGGGATAAGTATAAACTTCTATCTTAAATATTTAAATATATTAAGACTAAAACTTCAATATGCAAGTGGCAAAATATCTGGGTATCATAAATAGCACTGAGTGACAGTGTTTGTGGCTTAATATTAACAAAGAAATGTTGTATTTAACAGTAAAAAAGTTTGATCGGAACATGCCCAAAAAGCCTGCTGTGCCATTGAGGACTGATCATCCTGTCATGGGAATACAGAGTGAAAAAAATTTTATAAATACAAATGCAGCCGATGTCATCATGGGAGTGGCTAAAAAGCCTAAACCAATTTATGTTGATAAAAGAACTGGAGACAAGCATGATCTTGAGGCTTCAGGACTAGTTCCAAAGTACATCAATAAAAAGGTAGCCTTGTCGTATATTAATGAGAAGCCCGAGATTCAAATAATTTAAATATGATGTTCATAATGATCGTCTATATTATCATTATTGCTCTCATTGGACACATTGTCTATATTGCTGATTCTCATTCTTCTGCAATCTGTGTTTGGTCCAAATATAATGTGCTGAATTTACAGAGAACTTGTAGTAAACAATTCCATATAGTTCAGTTGATGAAAGTTATTGTTGTTTTCCTTAATTTCAATTAATATATTTAACAATTTTAATAAACATTGTCTGAAAGATATTTTTGGTTAGGTAGAAATGTCACTAAAAGGAGTCATTACTGTAAATCTAGAAGGAATGAGCCATCAGATTATCTTAAGATTTAGTCATTAATTGCAATAACTTGGCAGCTGAATAAGAAAAATGAAACAGAATGCAGCTTTAGAACCATCCATCTCATCAATGTAGTATAAATAATTCACATTCCAATTTTCACATGAATATGTTTATTTGGTTTTGGTCTTGGGTAAAGCCTTGAAAGTACTGTACAATAATCTAGTCCTTTTGGGTCCTTCATTTGTATCTGAAAGGGTGTTTATCAGATAGGCATCTAATTTCACTGGTAAACCTTATAGTTGAAATCTAGATTTTTTTTTTTTTTAGATGTATTCTCACTCTGTTGCCAAGTCTGTAATACAGTGGTGCAATCTTGGTTCACTGAAACCTCCAGCTTCTGGTTCAAGTGATTCTCCTGTCTCACCCTCCCAAGTAATTGGGATTACAGGCATGTACCACCAGGACTGGTTAATTTTGTATTTTTAGTAAACAGGGGGTTTCACCATGTTAGCCAGGCTGGTCTCAACTGTTGACTTCAAATGATCTGCCCACCTCAGCCTCTCAAAGTGCTGGGACTGCAGATGTAAGCCACCACACCCAGCCAAATATACATCTTTAAAATAAAAAAGCTTACAAAAAATCTTTTTAAAAATATATATTTTAATGCACTTTAGGTTCTGGGGTACATGTGCAGAACATGCAGGATTGTTGCATAGGTACATACATGGCGATGTAGTTTGCTTCCTCCATTCCTGTCACCTGTATCTGGCATTTCTCCCCATGTTATCCCTCCCCAACTCCCTACCCTCCACTGTCCCTCCCCAGTCCCTCCCAACAGACCCTAGTGTGTGATGCTCCCTTCTCTGTGTCCACGTGTTCTCATTGTTCAACACCCGCCTATGATTGAGAACATGTGGTGTTTGATTTTCTGTTCTTATGTCAGTTTGCTGGGAATGATGGTTTCCAGATTCATCCATGTCCCTACAAAGGACATGAACTCATTGTTTTTTATTACTGCATAGTATTCCATGGTGTATATGTGCCACGTTTTCCTTGTCCAGTCTATGATCCATGGGCATTTGGGTTGGTTCCAGGTCTTTGCTATTGTAAACAGTGCCACAATGAACATATGTGTGCATGTGTCTTTATAACAGAACGATTTATAATCCTTTGGATATATACCCAGTAATGGGATTGTGGGTCAAATGGAATTTCTATTTCTAGGTCCTTGAGGAATCACCACACTGTCTTCCACAATGGTTGAACTAATTTACACTCCCACCAACAGTGTAAAAGTGTTCCTATTTCTCCACATCCTCTCCAGCATCCATTGTCTCCCGATTTTTTAATGATCGCCATTCTAACTGGCGTGAGATGGTATCTCAATGTGGTTTTGATTTGCATTTCTCTAATGACTAATGATGATGAGAATTTTTTTCAGATGTTTATTGGCCTCATGTATATCTTCTTTTGAAAAGTGTCTGTTCATATCCTTCATCCACTTTTGAATGGGTTTGTTTTTTTCTTGTAAATCTGTTTTAGTTCTTTGTCAATTCTGGATGTTAGCCCTTTGTCAGATGGGTAGATTGCAAAATTTTTTTCCCATTCTGTTGGTCGCTGGTTCACTCTAATGATTTGTTTCTTTTACTGTGTAGAAGCTGTGGAGTTTAATTAGATCCCATTTGTCAATTTTGGCTTTTGTTGCCAATGCTTTTGGTGTTTTAGTCGTGAAGTCGTTGCCTCTGCCTATGTCCTGAATGGTTTTGCCTAGATTTCCTTCTAGGGTTTTTATGGTGTTAGGTCTTATGTTTAAGTCTTTAATCCATCTGGAGTTAATTTTAGTGTAAGGTGTCAGGAAGGGGCCCAGTTTCTGCTTTCGGCATATGGCTAGCCAGTTTTCCCAACCCCATTTATTAAACAGGGAATCCTTTCCCCATTGCTTGTTTTTGTCAGTTTTGTCAAAGATCAGATGGTTGTAGATGTTTGGCGTTGCCTCTGAGGCCTCTGTTCTGTTTCATTGATCTATATCTCTGTTTTTGTATCAGTACCATGCTGTTTTGATTACTGTAGCATTGTAGTATAGTTTGAAGTCAGGTAGTGTGATGCCTCCAGCTTTGTTCTTTTTGCTTAGAATTGACTTGGCTATATGGGCTCTCATTTGGTTTCATATGAAGTTAAGGTGGTTTTTTCCAATTCTGTGAAGAGCATCATAGGTAGCTTGATGGGGATAGCATTGAATCTGTAAATTACTTTGGGCAATATGGCCATTTTCACAATATTGATTCTTCCTAACCATGAACATGTAATGTTTTCCCATCTGTTTGTGTCCTCTCTGATTTCCTTGAGCAGTGGTTTGTAGTTCTCCTTGAAGAGGTCCTTATATCCTTTGTTAGTTGTATTCCTAGGTATTTTATTCTCTTTGTAGCAATTGTGAATGGCAGTTCGTTCTTGATTTGGCTCTCTTTAAGTATGTTATTGGTGTATAGGAATTTTACATAATTATAAAGCTTAAAAGTGCTTGAAATGCACAAAATATGAATGCAGGCTGGGCACAGTGGCTCACACCTGTAATCCCAGCACTTTGGAGGACAGGGCAGATTGCTTGAGGTCAGGAATTCAAGTGCAGCCTGGCCAACATGGTGACACCCGTCTCTACTAATAATACAAAAATTAGCCAGGCGTGGTGGCATGTGCCTGTAATCCCAGCTACTTGGTGGCTAAGGCATGAGACTCACTTGATCTCGTGAGGCCAGGTTTGCAGTGAGCCAAGGTTGTGTCCCTGCACTCCAGCCTGGGTGACAGAGCGAGATGCTGTGTCAAAAAGAAAAAGTGCAAGTTCTAAAGAATAATAAGTTGCAGCAAGAAGAAATGAAGGAAGAGAGGGAAAAAGAAAGGAAAGGAAAAAGGAAAGGAGAAGAGAGGAGAAATGAAAAGAAAAGAAATTGCAATAGTGATTTGCAGGGGCCTTGAATCGAAGAGTCCAGTGATCTACCATGATAAATCCAATGGCAGCTGAAAACCAAAACGGGAATCTCAGAGCTGTTTTCAGAGGACACTGTCTTCTCAGGAACCTACGAGTTGGCAGGTTAAGCCAATAAAGTTACTTCAGGCTTCTCCAGGTACTTCCTCCTTCTGTGGCCTCTGGAAACTGTTTTATAGTCCTTGTCCCATAGGATGGGGAAAAGTAGAAAACTCACTCTCCTGGCCTTTAAAGCCATTTCGAATCCATTATTTCTCCACGATCATATGTAAAGTAATTGATGGTCATGCTACCACCTGTCACACACTGTGCCTCTCCTTCTGGCTGCTCTCTAAGCTGTCCACTTTAATGCATTTTCTACCTTGAACAGGAAATTTAGAGTACCCATCATGAACACAGAAAAATACCAGATCTACCTATGCTTGTTTACCAAGCCATGAAACGACTGTGACTAATGTCCTTTTGGTGTTACTGACTAAGCAATTGGTGCTTATTAAAGATTTATTCAATTTACTTTTCTCTTATCAGAGTTAAGTTTTAAAGATCTATTATCTGGCCAGGCACAGTGGCTCATGTCTGTAATTCCAGCACTTTGGGAGGCCAATGCAGGCAGATCAAAGATCAGATCAAGACCATCCTGGCTAATATGGTGAAACCCCATCTCCACTAAAAATACAAAAAAAAAAAAAAAAATTAGCCAGGCATGGTGGTGTGTGCCTGTAGTCCCAGCTACTCAGGAGGCTGAGGCAGGAGAACTGCTTGAACCCAGGAGGCAGATGTTGCAGTGAGCCAAGATCATACCACTGCACTCCAGCCTGGGTGACAGGGTGAGACTCCATCTCAAAATTTTAAAAAAGTTGTATTATTGATAGGTGAGATAGTAAATAAATTCTTTTAAAGGAAATGTCATATTTTTATAAAATTAGTAAACTCAAGTTTTAGTTCCAAGTGAATTATATGCCATTCATACCATGAGAAACAATTTCTGGGAACAAACAAGGATAAATGATCACATGAGGTATTTAGCAATAGTAGTAAAGACACCATTTCACATTCTAACTCTGCCACTTAGTTACTGTGATTTCGAATAGTTCATTGCATTTATCACAGGATTGTAGTGAGAATTAAATAATATAAAGTATATTGACCACTTGACACAAAATATGACCCATAGTAAAAGAACAAAGAGTGAATATATTATAATATATGCAGTTTTGTTAACAGTATGCATTAGCCTTTGGTGATTCAGCCCATAGGAATATTTCAGATAACTGAAGCTTTTGCTCATTTGTGAGTTTTTTTTTTAAGAAACTGTGTCATGCCATTCCCTTTCTTTCTTAAAAAAATTAATTAATCACTGTCAGTCCTTGTGAAAAAATAAATTTAATTTTTTAAAAGATAGGAGTCTCACTATGTTGCCCAGGCTGGTCTTGAACTTTTGGGCTCAAGAAATTCTCCTGCCTAGGTGTCTCAAAGTACTGGGGTTACAGGCATGAGCCCCTGTGCCCAGTCATTCTCTTTCTTAAACAGAGTATGCCAAATATGATTTAATCTTTTTGTGATCCTGCAGAATCATCACGATGAGCCTCCGTTATTGTACTAAGCTATAATGAGGTGTTTCCTGAAGTGGGTTGGCCTGTCTTACTGCACCAACTGCCCAGAATACTGGGCTCCCAGAGTTTATTTGTATTGTCCTCTGCAGCTTCTAGAACACATTTATATCTAGGATTTCTATCCCTTGTTCAGTCAGGATGGGTTAAGTTACGCTGTGATGACAACCCCCAAATTTCAGTAACTTAAAGCAGCATAGTGTTATTGTTTGCTTTTGCCACATGCCCTTTGAGGGTTGTTAGAGGCTCTGTTTCTTGTTTTCATTCTTCAGGACCCAGAAAAAGGTAAACATTGCTTGTCACTAGACCAGACAGGAAAAGACACAGCAAGTCATCCACTAGTTCTTCAGGCTTCTATCCAGAAGTGACCGAGGTCACCTCCACTGACATTGAGCAAGTCAGGCCATATGGCTACATCTTACTTTATGAGGAAAACACGGGGAAGAGTTTCCTACCAAGTGTCCAGAAGGAGAACAGAATATTTGTCAATATTTTAATGACTAGCATACCTCCTCCCAACTGCTGCTTTTTCAGTTTTCCCCCAACCTCCTTGTTTATCTAAAATAGCCCTTACTATTTTCTTTGCCCTCACTATCCTTTTTTTTTTAAGTTCAGAACACATACATATTATTTCATGTTCTATTTTTGTTGAGTCTCTGTCACCAGAATGAAAATTCCATGAAGACAGAAACTTTGCCTTATTGACTAGTATACCTAGCACCAAGTGCCTTCTCAAATACTTTTTGAAGAAGGAATACATAGTAGTTCGGTTTCTCTGCACAGTGGAATGAAACGCATTTACTAAACTGGAAAAAACACAGCTGACACTGTCAGTCCTTGTGAAAGGGAACAGTTCCCTGATTCCCCTCGCAGGGCGTGCGATAGGGGCGTGGCTCACTTATTCGGTGCTCCGCGGCTCACACCTCTAGGGGGCGCAAGCAGGCGGGCAGGCTGTGGGGCTGCGGCTCCACAGCGTTGTCTATGTGTGAGTGTTCACAGCTCCTGAAGCCCCAGGGGCGCCTGTTTCAGGGTGCTCTTTTAGTTTAGCTGTCCACAGGCGGCTTGCGCTAGCTCAATTAGACCCCCGCTTTATCACAAGGACAGAGGGCTTCCAGAGGGCTTTCTGTATCCCAGGATTCTTGCCTTGGTATACTGAAAGAACCACATGCGGGCTTGGAGAACGAGTGCCAGGGTTTTGTTTTGGTTTGGTTTTTGTTTTTGTTTGTTTGTTTGTTTTTGAGACGGAATTTCGTTCTTGTTGACCTGGCTGGAGCACAAGGGCGCGATCTCGGCTCACCGCAACTGCTGCTTCCCGGGTTCGAGCGATGCTCCTGCCTCAGCCTCCGAGCGCAAGGTTTTATTGAGTGGAAGTAGCTCTCAGTAGATGGGGGAGCCAGAAGGAGATGGTTTTTCCCTGGAGCCCAGCGGCTCAGTGGCCTTAGCCCGGCCAAACTCCACGTTGTTCCACAGGTCAATGGCCCGTAGGCCTGCCGGTGCCCATCGGTGTGCTACTGTCAGTGGCCTCCGCTTGTGTGTTCTTCCACCGATGTGTTCCTCTCGACGCCCAGTCACTTGCGTGCCTGCCTGCTAGGGCCTCGGGGGATTTTATAGGCACAGGATGGGGGCGTGGCAAGCCAGGGTGGTCTTGGGATATGCAACATTTTAGGCGGGAAAACAGAAATGCCTGTCCTCATCTCGGTCCATGGGCACAGACTGGGGATGGAGCCCTCACCAGGGACCCCACTCATCTCTACCCAGCGCTTCCCTGCCTGCCTTCCACAGCACTTGAAGCAGCCCGGGAACTACACCTGCCTTTTTTTTGGAAAAAAGAACCTCAGAGTCCCAAGTCAATTTCCTCTTAAAGCTGATATCCTTGGTATCTTTTAAGCATTCCTTTTTATAATGTTTTGGAAAAGTTTGTCTTTAAAAAGACCACAAAAAATAGACTTCAAAATATTCAACATATTTCAGGTAAAAACTGAAGAACATGGAAGGTAGAAAAGCCAACTCTTAGGAGTAAAGTGTCAGCTAAGAACAGGTGTGGGAAACATTCAGAAAAGGAAAAACGAGCAATAACAACTCCTATTTATTTATTTAGAGATGGAGTCTCACTGTGACACCCAGGCTAGAGTGCGGTGGCTCCATCATGGCTCACTGTAACCTCTGTCTCCCGGATTCAGGAAATTTTTGTGCCTCAGCCTCCTGAATAGCTGGGACTATAGACATGCACCACCACACCTGGCTAATTTTTGTATTTTTAGTAAAGACGGGGTTTCACCATGTTGACCAGGCTGGTTTGAACTCCTGACCTCAAGAGATCCGCCCCAGTAAACCTCCCAAAGTGCTGAGATTACAGGTGTGAGCCACCATGCCCAGCCAATGACAACTCCATTTTAAAAGGCAGGAATCTACTAGCTCTCAACAGTGGGGGAAAAATCACTGAATTTTGTCAATTTACAGGGTTCTGAGCAAAGGCTTTACATCTGTACCATTTCTTTTTCTCCCATCATTGGTTGATACATACACATACATAACATCGCATGCAGAATACGGATTACTTGGCCAGGCACAGTGGCTCACGCCTGTAATCCCAGCACTTTAGGAGGCTGAGGTGGGTGGATCATGAGGTCAAGAGATGGAGACCATCCTTGCCAACATGGTGAAACCCCATCTCTACTAAAAATACAAAAATTAGCTGGTCACAGTGGTGGACATCTGTAATTCCAGCTGCTCTGGAGGCTAAGGCAGGAGAATGGCTTGAACCGGGAAGGTGGAGACTGGGGTAGGCTGAGATAGCACCACTGCGCTCCAGCCAGGGTGATATGTTGATTACTTTTTTCTGCAAAATCTTTTTAGGATTATGGTGTCACACCTGAATACATATGTAAGCGAAACGAGGAAATAAAGAAAGCCCAAGAAGAATATGATCATTATATCCAGGAAAACCTTAAGAAAGCAGCTATGAAAAGGGTCTCTGATGAAGAAAGAGAGGCGATTCTGCAGGTGTGTGTTCTGCAATTTACATTCCTCTGTAACTCTTTGTAATATCTCTGAAAGAAAGGTGTACCATCACCTTGATGATTAAAGCCAGCACTTTTTGAAATCAGAACAATATCTTTTGGGTACAGTGAAACACTACATGCAGCACAGCTGACTCTTCGGAGAGAGCAAAAAGTTGTAATATTGGGATTCATCTAATAATATTTTATTTCCAATTTGATGAACTGTTTTTTTTTTCCTGAGCTAGGGTTTTAAGAAAGCCTACCTTCCTCTACAATGAACTCGCATGAATAAGACAAATAAAGCCTTTTCATTTCTATGCCTCTGAGTTTGTAAAAAAAAATGATATTCATAAATTAGATATTTTTCACTAGATGGAGCTCTAGAATAATTGAAACTGTCCTTAAACCAACTTTTTTTTTCTTTCCTATAAGCCAAATGTCCAAAATTTTAAATAAACAGGTGTTAGGTTCCACATATGTTTTTCTTGTTTTGAATTAAATAGACTTAAAGATATATTTATATTGGATTTTTTAATGCAGGACTTTTATCTGAAGCATTTAAAATATTAAGTGGTGTGAGCAGGCTTTCTGCTTTATTATTGGCACCTCTTTGTACTTTTTATAGTCATACTGTCTCTTAAAGAAATAATACTTAATTCTTTGTTTTTTTTTTAATTTTGAAAGCATCCTACAAAATGATTTCTAGTGTCTTATTAATCTCTGTTGAAAAATGGATTCATATGCTATCACAAATTTTTAACATGTTATCAAAGTCATACTCATCATAAATATTTCTTAAATGCCAAACCCTGAGGATATTTTAAAAGGCATAAGATTCTTTAAAATGTCTGCTATGGAGAATTGTGCAATTTAATTGGTGAGAGGTACTGTGGATGTGTGTACATGTGTAGATGTGAATGTGTGTATGTGTGCCGCTCCTAAGTTTCTTAAGGGTCCAAGGCACTAGTCACCCTGGAGGATTATAGATCTTTAGCTGGGCCTGAAAATGTACAGTGACAGCACATCCCAGACAGTAGGAGTGGCTGAAAGGCCAGGATGGTATCTCTTTGCTGACAGCAGCATCCCCAGTGCCTAGCACAGTGCCCAGTGAAAACGCAGATGTTCAGAAATGGTCTGCTGCAAAAGAGAAGGCAGACAGGCAGGAAGGAAGGCTGGCAGACATGGAAGTGAGAATTGGCATGTCATTTTCAGGGGGAGTTCTGGTCTGTGGCCCATTCTATCTCTCTCATTTGGATTTTCCCATTTTCAGAAAGTACATGCCTTTGTGAAAGCCAGGTTTTCACACCTAAATGATGCTGAAAAATAGGAATATAATATAGAAATGAGAAGTCACAGGTCCTTCCCTTCTGTGTCTTTTTGGCTGTAGGGGATAAGCAGTCCTCAGCTTCCTATTATGGTCACTACAGAGCTACTCTTTGATGTAACAATAGCAAATCCTCCACTGGACGCCTTATGAGCCAGGGAGCGGAGCTGCCATAGTAACAAAGCCACTGGCTGGCCTCCTAATGAGCCCTGAGCCATGCTTCCTTCCCTGGGCAAAAGCCGCATGTAGTTCTATGACAATCTGGTTGTATATCCCTCAGTAAGCCACATTCTGCTCATTCTTCATAAAATAACAGTCTCATTATACCTGGACAGAATCGTCTGGTCTAATGATTACAAACTTCTCATTTTTAAAATGAGGACTATATATATATGGAATGAATAATAATAACATATATTTATATGCTGTCACTCTACATTTTCAGGCCAGCTAGAGAACTATAATCCTCCAGTAGTGACTAGTGCCTTGGAACCTTGCGAAACTTAGGAGCTGCACACATACACACATTCATATCTATACATGTGCATAGATCCATAGTACCTCTCACCAATTAAATTGCACAATTCTCTATACATATTTTATATATATATAAATTATATATAACATATATAAAAATAATTTTTATTTGTAATATATATATATATATATATATATATATATATATGTTCTTTTTCTCTTTTTTTGAGATGGAGTCTTGGTCTGTCGCCCAGGCTGGAGTGCAGAGGCACGATCTTGGGTCACTGCAACCTCCACCTCCCAGGTTCAAGTGATTCTCATGCCTCAGCCTCCCAAGTGGCTGGAATTACAGGTGCACACCACCACGCCCACCTAATTTTTTTGTATTTTTTAGTAAAGATGGGGTTTTGCCGTGTTGCCCAGGTTGGACTTGAACTCCTGGTCTCAGGTGATCCGCCCACCTCAGCATCCCAAAGTGCTGGTATTACAAGTGTGAGCCACTGTGCCCAGCCTGTAATACAAATATATTAAGTGGGCCCCTTTATTGATTCATTTATTTATGAACATCTACTGTGTTCCAGCCAGAGGGATACGGTAGAGAGCAAAATAAACACAGTCCTCAGTGTCAGTGAACTTAGAGTTGGCTTTCATTTGCCCTTGGTCACAAAACTATCAAGTGCATCAGTAGGGACTAACTCATTTACCAAATGCTGGGCTGGTATTTCCCCCACTACAGAACACGTACATGCGGAGGAGGTAACAAAGGGAGGCTGCATCAGTCAGGGCTCTAGCAGGAAAGGCACACTCAGCTGGGACTTGGAAGATAATTTATGTTTGTTTATTTTATGTATTTATTTGACACAGTCTTGCTCTGTTGCCTAGGCTGGAGTGCAGTGGCATGATCACGGCTCACTGCTAGCTGGAACACCACCATGCCTGGCTGATTTTTTAAAATCTTTTATTTTTTTATTTCAATTTTTTATTTTTAGAGAGGGAGTTTCACTATGTTGCCCAGGCTGGTCTCGAATTCCTGGCCTCAAGCGATCCTCCTCCCTCAGCCTCCCAAAGTGCTGGGATTACAGGCATGAGCGGTGGCCACTGAAGAGGATTTATGAAGGAACTATTGACAGAAGTGCAGTAGGATTAAGGGAATAAACAAGGAACACTGAGGCACCCCAGGAATAAGGACAATGGGAATTCACCGCCACCTAGGCTTGAAGGGTGGCAGGCAGAAGCAGCAGTGTTCTCAGAATCCACTGAGAGCTGGAGCTGGGCTGAGGGTCACAGTCACAGATGAATGCAGTGAGAACCAGTGTCCAGACAGTGTCCTAGGAGAGAAGGAGAAATGCCCCAGCCTCACGCTTCTCCCTCCAGGGCCTTCTGTGGCTGAACTCAGGACAGAGGGTGAGAGAGCTGGGAGCACCCCACAAGGTGGAGAATGTTTGGGGGTGGGCAAGCGTACAAAAGGAGCATGGAACTGAGGTACTTATTATAAAATCACTTCTCCCTATCTGATTTTTTTCCAAAATGAACAGTACTATTTCAGCATTAAAATAGAAGAGAAGAAAGTTAAGAAATAAAAATAAGGGAAAATCGCAATTGCTGCAACACATGAAATATCTTTTTAGATGAAATAACAACAACAAAAAAAAACCTCTTAAAGACAGCAAGTAGCCTATTTCAATATAATATGAACTATCAGCTACATTTAGTTTCCGTCCCTAACTGTTGACTTTGATCCAAACATTATTGTACACACTGGAAGATAAAAGCAAACTATCCTTTAAAAGAAAATACAGAGAAAAACTGTAGCTGCTGTGACTGCAAGTAATATGGAAATATCACCCAACTAGCTATGAAAAACCTTTGATATCCGCAAGTATATAAATACATAGACTTCCTCTCTGCAGTGGACACCCCTGTGGAGCACTGTGGGAACCCATTTCACATTTCATAATGAAAGACTGTGGAGAAATAGAATTCTTTTGAGGGCTTCTTTTTGGAATACATTGCATACACCATCAAGAACTGTGTAGCCTCCTCTTCTTAAAAGTTAACCTGGATACTTTTTCTTCTATCCTTCCCCTTTCCCATATTCTTAGCTTATTCAAGAAGGCCTCATAATTTGTTGCCCTTTTCCCCAACCAACCTATTCCATAGAGTGTGCCCAACCTGTCATCATCTTTTATCTAAGCAAGAAAAAAAATCATTGAAATATTATTGTCCCCGAAAGTTTCTACAAGATTAAATTTGTACCACAAGAGCTTACAATGAAGGCATTATTATATGAGACACTTCTGATCCTCTTTTACAACTAAATGTATGATGGCCATGGTTTCCAAAGACCATGTTTTCAAGAAGGTACTTTAAGTTTTGGGGTTTTTGGTTTTGGTTTTGTTTTCAGCCTCCCAAAGTGCTGAGAGTACAGGTGCAAGGCAACACTTTCGGCCTAGTGAAATCTTTCAGAAGACTATTTATTTATTTGTTTATTTTTGAGATGAAGTCTCACTCTGTTGCTCAGGCTAGAGTGCAGTGGTGCAGTCATGGCTCACTGTAGCCTCAACCTCCTGAGCTCAGGTGATCTTCACACTTCAGCCTCTAAGGTAGCTGGGACTACAGGTGCATGCTACCACACCTGGCTAATTTTTTTAATTTTTTGTAGAGACAGGGTTTTGCCATGTTGCCCACGCTGGTCTCAAACTCCTGGGCTCAAGCAATTCACCTGTCACGGCAGTATCTTAAATTGCACTTTCTGTTTTGCTTTTGTGTAAATAAAATAATCTATGTACCCATAATGAATAATAAAAAAAGCTGACTTATAAAATTTTATTGAATTAATTTAATTAGTAGTTTAAGACCATTTTGACTGTGGAGCCCATAGGGCACTGTGAAAAAAGATGACAATTATGCAGAAACAGAAATAACCTTTATTGTTCCTAAGAGATCCCTAATTTTGAATTTGTTGATTTCTGAGAATATAAAATGTTAGCTACATTATTGAATTAGTATGTGTGTTACATTTAATGACCTTTCAATCATTTATATAATACATTAATGGGAAATATGGATCCCTTGACTATATGGAGAGCAATTGGTTCTTTCTAAGATATTGAAAAGACACTGGCCATGCACATCAGAATTTGGTCTTTTGATGTGATTTCTCTGTTGAAGAATGAGGATAAAAAAGAAAATTTTACAAAACGATTTGCTGTTCAAAAATGTTTTTGATTCAGGGATATCATTTTAAGTTGTTTTTTTACCCACGCATTTGCTATGAGCTTAGCTCCACGCTCCTCATAACTCTGCATGTACATTTTTGACGGTAAAAACAAGTACAGTAACAACAAAAACAGGGCAAACAAATACTCCCAGTGGGAACTGAACACACAGTCAAGGATGGGATTTGGCCTCTGTACAGTATTTTTGGTTACTGTGGCCAAGTACTTGATAAATACGTTTCATTTTAGAAGTTACTGTCAGTTTCCTTTACCTATTGACATTGTTCATTACGGATTAACTTTTCCAATTTCCTCTACTTTTGCAGTTTGCTTTGGCATTTACAAGTTTCTCTACCATTTGCAGGGGCTGAAAAAGAACTGGGAAGAGGTGCATAAAGAATTCCAGTCCCTCTCAGTCTTTATAGATTCCATACCAAAGAAGATCCGCAAGCAGAGTCTGGAAGAAGAAATGAAGCAACTGGAACACTACATTGGTGTAATTGAAAAACACAAAATTATTTATATTGCCAATAAGTAAGAATGGATCTTTAAAGTATAGAGATTTCAATGTAGGGAAAAAACATGGAAAATATAAAAATAAAACTATAAGTTTTTCATAAAGGAAAATACTACAAAGATAATAAACATAGTCTTAATCAGAATGCTTAGGCAATGTGCAAAGAATAATTGAGTTATTCACTTACACAAGAAGAAATTTTGTTTTTACTAGTGTTTTCCACATACAAACTATTCAAGTTGGAGACTATGTGTTCCAGTTCCATAATGTAATTCATTGTTATTATGTACTTGTTTCACATACACATTAATTTCTAGATCCTGAAAATAAAGTCGGCACTCAGAACTTCAAATTGTTTTTTTTCTGTGGTGCCTGATCCAAACAGCACAACTTTGAAAAGTGTTAAGTATGTTGAACTGGAAAGAGTAACATGTGCATTCTTACTACTATAAAGTGTCTCCAACCCATTGTTTCTGAGCTCCACAAATGCAAAAGATGTATTTTCTGGTGGCCCATGACATTTGTAGTTATTCCCAATGATAAATATTTTCAGTATTCATAACACTGTATATGATGAAAGGCTTCTATTTGTAGGAAGAAAATTAAGAAGACAACTTACAAAATCAAGAGGACGACTTGTAAAAGGCATTACTGAGGCTGGTGATGGAGAACAGCCTCCTTTCTGCCATACCAACTTTGATACTCCTGTTTTATTCCACCGCTCACTATGCAAATCTTATTTAGATATGTATTTTTTGGGTCCTTTCTACTTATCTATTTTGTGAATTCTAATTCTAATCACTTGTAAGATTACATTTTTTTTTTTGAGATGGAGTCTCATGCTGTCACCCAGACTGGAGTCCAAGTGGCACGATCTCAGCTCACTGCAACCTCCGCCACCCAGGTTCAAGCGATTCTCCTGCCTCAGCCTCCTGAGTAGCTGGGACTACAGGCATGCACCACCACACCTGGCTAATTTTTGTATTTTTTAATGGAAACAAGGTTTCACCATATTGGACAGGCTGGTCTACGAACTCCTGAGCTCAGGTGATCTGCCTGCCTCAGCCTCCCAAAATGCTGGGATTACAAGCTTGAGCCACCACACCCAACCAAGATTACATAATCTATTAAGCAATTAGTTTATGTTAGTAGAGCTGTTTTCATCCCAACTAAGAAAAATAGCTCTAAATATCTAAGAGGAAAAGGTTTTATCAGTTTTAAATTAGAAAAATTTGGTAAAATATATGCAACCACAAAATAGCAGATAAATAACAATTTCTACTGCTTACATTGGTTTTGATCCTCTGGACAACATAATAAACAAAATATGAGGGTCTTTCAAGCTTCTTTTCACACAGAATTTGGGAGCCTTATAAAAAAGCTTATTTTGGTTAAAGAAAAATAGTTTATATACAATTATTTTTTGAAAATTCACTTGAAACTTGTCTGTATGAGTCTCTTTTTTTTATTCCTTTATTAACTTAGGGCAGATATAAAATAAAGGATAATGTGTGATAAATTCTTACTTATCAAGAATGGTTGGTTGCTATTTAGGGTAGGCTAACAGCTATGACAATACACTCCAAAATGTATAATTACATAAACAGAAATTCAGTTTTTGCTGACATAACTGTATTTTGCTATGAGCAGGTCAGGAGCAACCCTTTTCTACAGTCACTCAGGGACCCAGACTTACAGAGTGGGTAGCATGCATCTGATCCAGAGTTAGGGAGAGCCACGTACAGGCCAGGCCTAGAAATGGTACATATCATTCCCACTTGCATCACTAAGTAAGCAACTTAAGTTGCTTTAACAAACTAACTCCAAATCTTGGTTGCCTGATACAGATACATTTTTCATTTACATTACTGTGCAATGTGACAAAGGGTGGAGGTACAACTCTCTTCCATGCAGTAACTCAGGGACCCAGTCTCTTTTTGTCCGGTGGCTCTGTTGTTCCAGACAGCTTTTCTCTGACAGTTCAGGATGAGATGTTTAGGTCAGCATTTTATTTGTAAGATGATTGCTATGCATACGCATTTTTAAATAATTCAAAATCAATAGCAATGCACAAATATTCTAATGACTTCAGCCTCATGGATATTATGCTTTGAAGTCATCAGTGGGAATTGCCTTAAATGTTAAAAAGAAAACTTTGTGGTTTTAACAGATAATTCTTCTTTTGCTTTCTGTAAATGTCTACTGAAGAATTTAGACCTTTCTACATGGCCCTCAGTGTTGTCCTAGATGGACTTCATTGCCTTTCTTTCACACAGCCTTCAGAGGGAAACATTCCCATCCACTGATCCTACCATGGAATCCCAACCTTGGATATAGCCAGTGCAACCTCCCCTAATCCATATACATACGTAACCTGGGTCATCCTATCAGCCAGAAGAGGGACAAACACCTGACTTGGACAGCCGCCAGTGACTGATCAGATTCTCTCTCTTGAGAGCATGAATTAAGAGACATGCAGACTGCAGTCACTTGGGAGTGGACACCTGAAACTAAAAGGTCAAACTTCATTACGTGGCTAGTTTGACTTGTTTTCTCTTTCCGTTCAAAAGAAGAATGGGCAGAATAAAGATTTGATGTGGCCTGGCCCCTTGCCTATGATCTTTTTAGCTTCATTTCTTGAAACACTGTTTCTTCCCTACCTACTGTAACTGACATTCCCATAGTACTGAGTACTAGAGACCTCTCAGATCTGCACACATGGTCCCTCCACCCAGAAAACTGCCCTTGTCTTTCTCTCATCCTGTATAGCTACCTGACAAATCCCAGTCTTCATCAGCTCACATCACATTTCCATGGCAATCCTCTTGATTCCTCAGATTCTGGCCTTCCTTTATAGCACTGGTCATATTGTATTGTACATATCTGGTTATTTGCCTGTTTTCCATGAAGTTGCAAGCTCATGAGGAGAAGGTACTGTGTATTTTTTTATCTGCATTCCCTAGAATCTGCAAAATGGTATAGAGAAGGTACTAAAAATAATCCTTAATCAATACAATAATGAACTGTACCCAAACGTATTTTAATGATCTTTTGACATTATTATCGTGACATAAATCAGACTTGGAGTATAGAGAATTTGGCTGCTAACCAAACCAGTTGATTCCATACCAATCAGTTAATACAAAATCAACATAGGAGGAGGCAGTTTCACATGGTGCTTAAGAGCTCAGGTACTGTAGTCACGCAGCCTCAGGTTCGCATTCCAGTTCAGCTGCTTACTAACTGTGCTACATACAACCTTTCTAAGCCATGTTTTCGTTTCCTTTAAATGGGGTTGCTAACCCATTCATGATCTATAGAGTTATGATGAGAATGAATGGCACAATATGTGCATAACAGCATAACCCCTGGTATGTAGAAAGACAATGAACTTAATACTATGTCTTGTTATTAAGAATTCTCTTTCAATTCCATAGTCCTTTTGTCCAGTTGGTGCTAGACCCGTTAGCATACTTCCAATAGACATTCCCAGAAATAAAATCTGGTTGCAGGAAAGAACTTGATTGAACTGCTTAGAAGTTCTAGCCTGAGAATAGCCTAGCCTGGTTAATCTCTTCAGTGGCACACACAGATGATAACTATATTTGGTAACTTTTATCTCTAGTAACTGGCAAAAATTTGGCAATACTTCCTAAGTTACTCAACACAGGCATTCCAAAAAGGAAGATAAGCTTAAATCAGTAATGATAGAGAGACACTGAGGAGAAAGGTCTGCAAGGTTGTGTCCAACAAAGCCTCATGGGTGATATTTATTAGTGAATTAATGTGGCCCAGGACTTGACCTGAGGACCCATGCTTCACCATTCTCAGCAACTCAGAGTCAGATGCACATGAATTAAAGTCTATGTGAGCCTGAGTTATTGCCTGGACATCGATTTTTAAATTAAGAAATACGTCTCAGCTAAATAAATCCCCATAATCAGTGCATTCTGTCCCAGTTGTCAGGCCATGTGGGAAAATAAATCATAATCAAAAGGTACTTTGGGTCAGGTGCAGTGGCTCATGCCTGTAATCCCAGACTTTAGGAGGCTGAGGTGGGTGGATCACTTGAGGTCAGGAGTTCAAGACTAGCCTGGCAACATGGTGAAACCCTGTCCCTACTAAAAATGCAGAACTTAGCTGGACATGGTGGTGCACACCTATAGTCCCAGCTACTCAGGAGGCTGAGGCAGGAGAATCACTTGAACTTGGGAGGCGAAGTTTGCAGCAAGCCAAGACGGTGCCACTGCACTCCAGCCTGAGCGACAAAGCCAGACTTCATCACAAACAAACAAACAAACAAAAAACACCCAACAGGTACTCTGGCTAAAACAGAGTCACAAGAAAAAATAAATTTAGATTGTTTCATAAAAAGCCTGTCAGCTGACATAGCTCACTCATTGTCATCCAACCCATATTGACTCTCTGCTATGTGCCAAGAACTGTTCTGGCTGCTGGTCGTGTAATGATGAACAAAATAGCTATGTTGGGAAGACAGAAATAATCACACAAATATAATGCATTTATAATTAGATATTGAAATTGGTGTTTTGAAAGAAAAAAAATACGATGTTCTGCAAGGGAATCCTAAATCAGATTTTGTAGAATCTGACATTTTAAATGAGACTGAGGAATTAGTGGAAGTTGGGAAAAGTTGAGAAGAAAAGGGTTGCAGAGGGGAAAGAATTCCAAGCAGAGGGAGCAGAATGTGTGAAGGATCTGGGGCAGGAAACCCTTGACGGATAGGCAAGGCTGCCATGGGACTGGAGTGATCTAGGAAAGGGGAGAAGATGAGGAGGAAAGCAGGCACCATCGACGTGTTTTAAGCAGAGAAGTGGCACGAGGCAATCAGTATTTGTAAATTATCATTTGCTACATGGAGTGGAGTAGATCAGATGGCGCACGGGGAGACTCATTGGTAGACTAGTTGGTAAAACAGATAGTGGCACAGACCAAGGCTGTAGTAGTGCCGATTAAAGAGTAGCTGTAGGCTTCAAGAAATATTTAGGAGGTAAAAATATGACTTGGTGAAGTATTGAAAGAAGGAAGAGGGAGGTTTCAAGGTTCACCACCAAATTCTGATTTGAGCAACCAGGCAGCAGGGCAGCAGCATTGGGGCGGGCGGGGGGCGGTGGGTGCCATTTTCTGAACTGGGGAAACCTAGGGAAGGAGAAGTTTAAGGGAAGATAATGGTGAAGAGATCAAGAATACGACTTTAAACATATTAGGCTTATGACAATTGTGGAAATTTAGATCAAGAGTGGAAAGATAGATTGAGTGAGAAATTCAGATCAAAAGAGATGTAGGGTAGAGCTGTATGTTTGGGGATTCATCCGCCTGAATGAGATCACC